CCACCAGGGCTCTGCTGGGTGACTTCTGTGCCAGCTGAGGAGCCCAGGCAGGGCACGGGCATTTGCAGCAGCACCAGCAGCGCTCCCAGGTCAAGGATTTACAATGTTTTCCTCACTGCTGGCTCTCCTCCTCCTCCTCAGTGCCTGCAGACCTGTCCCCCGAGCAGAAATGAATAGCTAAAGGTTCTCATTTTTTAAGTAAGGTATTAGTGAGATGTCACACGCCCAGCTGCTGGAAAAATGTTTGCAGGGAGGTTTTCTGGAGCAGGGATGAGCAGCAGGGTGCTGCTGCACTGCTGCCATCAAACACTGCAACCTTGCAGCCCCGTCCTGCCCTTGACCCTGCAGCTAATCCATGGCTGGATCAGCTCAGCCACCCTGGAAATCTCCGGGGTGGGAATTACAGTGGCTTTGCTGCCCTTAATTCTCAAGGGAATTTGGTCCTTTTTGGGCTCTTCCTCCCTCAGACCAAGGCTCTGTTTTATCTCTGCTCAGGAACTTCAGCCAGGCCAGAGCCAGGTGCTGTTTGTGCCTTTTCCCTGTGGTTTTTAATCCCTTCCCTCTCCCTTTTCGCCAGGAAAATGCATTTTTTGGGCCGGGCAGGGAAAAGCCCTCCCTTTCCCAGCCAGCTCTTTAAGTGCTTCTTTCTTTCCTCTTCTGAGGAACTGTCAGCACTAAAATCCAAATTGCTCCTCAAAGCAGGACTGAGAGACTCACAAACCTCCTTAATGGCCACCAAGAACGCTTCCAAGTGCTGCCAGTTCCGGGGCTGGGGAAAAGAAGCTTCTTTTTAGGACTGAAAACTCCAATTTTCCAAAGCTGGGAATTTACAGAGTTGTCCATGTAGCTGCAGTTTGTGCCACCAGGATGTGTACTGCATACAGCCTTTAATTGTGTGATCACACCGTTTTAATTCCGAGGTTTGGGTGTTTAAGTTTCCCTCTTTCATGCAAAATATTTGGAACTTTTCTTCTGTTTCATGTTCCCAAATTAAAACATTTTTTTTTTTAAATAGAAACACCAAATCTTTTCCTTTGTACAATATTCAAACATTAACTTTTCCCATGATGCACATAAGGACAAAAATTATTACTGTGAAAATTGTTCTATTTAAAGAAAGAAAAAAAAGCTCTTGAGGAAGAGAGAGAAGGCGAAATGAAAGGAAATGTTGATTACTTTATCCAGGGATTTTTACACACTCCCTAAGCACCATTGAGTAAATTCCTGATGAATGGACACAAGAGATGAGCTATAAATGACTCCTCCAACTCCAGCAGGGAGCTGGAACAGCCTGGAAAAGGCTGGAATTGCTGAGCCCATCTCCCTCTCTGTGGCCTTTCCCTTTTAAAGCCAATTTTATTCCTGCACTCAGAGCTCAGAAAATCCAGCACAGGCCCAAGGGGCTGATCCTGCACACTTCTCCACGTCCCTGCTTTTTTTAATTTTTTTTTTTTTTGTCCCACCCTGCATTTTCTGCATGGTTCTGCCTCCTCGAGATAGTTTTGCATTATGAAAGGGCAACAGGAGAGGAGAAAAAAACTGTTGCTGTATTTAGCATTGATTTTTCCCCTTCACTCTGAGTCACAGAAGCTAACATTTAATTAATTTCTGACACTTTGACAGCTCCTAAGAAGACATTTGTAGAGCTATCAAGTGCTGCTGATAGCACTGTCAGACAGACACTTTTTGAATTATCAGCTATTAAGGACCCATATGCAACAAATTTCCAAGGATTATTATCCAAATTGTTCTCTGAATGAGAAAAGCACACAAAAGCTCAGTGAAACATAAAGAAACCATTGTTCCCAGGTGAATTTGATATTTGCAAATGTTTTGCTATTTTGATCACTTACGTGGTTTAATAAATCGAAGTCACTTTTGTCTTTTATTAAGGAAATTAAGTGGCCTTGGTTTGGGGTGTCTGAGAGCAGGGCCAGATCTGCCAGTGTGGTCTTTGTGGAGATGCAGCTTGGGAAACACGGAATATTTGATCCTTCCACCAAACATGGAATATTTTATCTTTCCACAAAATAGGGAATATTTGATCAATATTTGATCCTTCCCCCAAACATGGAATATTTGATCCTTCCACTAAACATGGAATATTTGATTCTTCCCTCAAATATGGAATATTTTATCCTTCCACAAAATGTGGAATATTTGATCAATATTTGATCAATATTTGATCCTTCCCTCAAACGTGGAATATTTGGTCCTTCCCTCAAACGTGGAATATTTGATCAATATTTGATCCTTCCCCCAAACATGGAATATTTGATCCTTCCACTAAACATGGAATATTTGATTCTTCCCTCAAATATGGAATATTTTATCCTTCCACAAAATGTGGAATATTTGATCAATATTTGATCAATATTTGATCCCTCCCTAAAACATGGAATATTTGATCCTTCCATCCAACATGGAATATTTGATCCTAGGAAGGGCTGAGCAGGGCATGAGGCCCCTGAAACGTGGAATTATTTAGGTGGGAAAGGCCTGGCCAAAGCAGCACCACCAGGAGCCACATCCCCAGGGATCTGGGCCCTTCCAGGGATGCTGACTCCAGCACTGCCCCGTCCCAGTGCCTGACAGCCCTTTCCATGGATTGTTTTCCCATAATATCCAAATAAACCTCCCCTGGCACAACGTGAGGCCTCTGTGACAGGCTCAGGAAAAATCTCTCCCAGGGCCCAGGGAAAACCTCTCCTATGGACCAGGAGAAACCTCTCCCAAGAGACAGGAAAAACCTCTTCCAAGGACCAGGAAAAATTTCTCTTAGGGAACAGGAAAAACCTCTCCCAGGGACGAGGAAAATCCTTTCCATGGGGCCAGGAAAAGCCTCTCCCAGGGCCCAGGAAAAACCTTTCCCAGGAGACAGGAGAAACCTCTCCCAGGAACCAGGAAAAACCTCTCCTCAGGACCAAGAAAAATCTCTCCCAGAGCCCAGGGAAAACCTCTCCCAGGAGACAGGAGAAACCTCTCCCATGGACCAGGAAAATCCTCTCCCAAGAGACAGGAGAAATCTCTCCCAGGGCCCAGGGAAAACCTCTCCCTGTGGCCAGGAAAATCCTCTCCCAAGGACCAGGAAAAACCTCTCCATGGGGTCAGGAAAATCCTCTCCCAAGGACCAGGAGAAACCTCTCCTAGGGACCAGGAAAAATCTGTCCCAGGAGACAGGAGAAACCTCTCCAAGGGCCCAGGAGAAACCTCTCCCAGGGGCCAAACATCCTGCAGGTCTCCCTGCAAATATGGAATTTACATTTTCATACCCTGGCACCAGAGAGAGCCCAAACCAGCAGCACCCAGAGCTCCCCTCCACTCTCCACATCCTCCTCGAGCTTGGTTTGTTCACCTCCCTCAGCACGGAGGAGATTTTGTTGTCTGAATTTCAAGCTAATGACACACAAACCTCTGTCCCAGCAGCTGAATTTCTTTAGGGCGTTGTGACAGAACAGAGAGACAGAAAAAGTCCAGAAGCCACTCTCAGTGGGTAAAACAAGCAGCAGAGCTCCCAGGTTTAGGCACTGCACAGGAATCCCATGGTTTTTTATGTTTTACATGGTTTTTTATGTTTTATATGTTTTTTTATGTTTTACCTCTGGAGGAGTACACAGCTGGTGGCCATGGGCCAGGGAATGCTGGGGGTGTTGCTGTGGTGATAAGATTTTCCAAGGAAAAACCAGGAAAGCCGTGTTGTCACTGCCAGGAGCTGCTGAGGGCTGTGGGGTGGCAGCAGAGCTGTCCCCACCATGTCCCCCTTCACTGTCACCTCACTGGGGCAGTGGCAGAGGCAGCACAGCCCAGCCCTGGCTGCAAAAGCTGCTGCTGTCAAGTCCCATCATTGTCACTGTTCAGGTCTAGGGGTTTAAAATTTATTTATTTCACTGCTGGAGGAAAAAAAAAAACAAACATATAAGGAAAAGACAAAAGAAGAAAAAATGAAAAGAATACAGCCCAAAGCCCCACGAAGCACATGGGAAATAAACAAAGTGGGTCATGGCACTTGTGCCCTGAACTGTGCACACCTAAGAGGGAGCAGGGAATGGCAGGGCACAAAACATCCCAGGCACTCTGAGTCACTGGCACAGAAACCTGGGGGTGAGCTGGCAGTAAAACCAAATTCTGCAATCCCTGCCTGGGTCAGTAGCTCTGCATCCATCCCATTTCCAGGCAAACATTTCACCAGGGCAGGGAGAACAGGGAAATCAGAGAATGACCAGGTTGGAAGAGATTTTAAAGATCGAGTCCAACCCAGCCCAAACACCTCAACTCAACCCTGGCACCCAGTGCCACATCCAGGCTTTGTTAAACACCCCCAGGGATGGTGACTGCACCACCCCCCAGTCCCTAGGAATTCCCAAAATTCACAGAATTCACAGAATCACAGAATGACCAGGTTGGAAGAGACCTCCAAGATCAATGAGTCCAATCCAATCCCAGCACCTCAGTAAACCTTGGCACCCAGTGCCCATCCAGGTTTGTTAAACACCCCCAGGGATGGTGACTGCACCACCTCCCCATTTCCTAGGAATTTCCAAAATTCCCAAAATTCACAGAACCACAGAATTCACAGAATCGCTGGGTTGGAAGAGACCTCCAAGACCTTCGTGTCCAACCCAGCCCCAGCACTTCAACTCAACCCTGGCACCCAGTGCCACATCCAGGCTTTGTTACACACACCCAGGGATGGTGACTGCACCACCTCCCTAGTCCTGAGAATTCCCAAAATTCACAGAATTCACAGAATCACAGAATTACCAGCTTGGAAGAGACCTTAAATATCATAGAGTCCAACCCAGCCCCAACCCCTCACTAAACCCTGGCACCCAGTGCCACATCCAGGCTTTGTCAAACACCCCCAGGGATGGTGACTGCAGCACCTCCCCGGGCAGGTCACGAGCGAGGCAGCAAAAACTTGATTTTTTTTTTTTTCACTCTTTTCATTTTTTCCCCACTTTTTCATTTTTTCCACGTCCTCTCCCCCACCCGTGTGGCAGGGCGGAGCTGGCAGCTGGCACCTGGGCCCCCATGGATCCCCTCAACCTCTCGTGGTACGACGGGGACAGGAACTGGAGCAGGGCCCTGAACGCCTCGGAGGCGGCGCAGAAGCCGCACTACAACTACTACGCCGTGCTGCTGGCCCTCCTCATCTTCATCATCGTCTTTGGCAACGTCCTGGTGTGCATGGCAGTGTCCAGGGAGAGGGCCCTGCAGACCACCACCAACTACCTGATCGTCAGCCTGGCCGTGGCTGACCTGCTGGTGGCCACGCTCTGCATGCCCTGGGTGGTCTACATGGAGGTAAGGGCTTGGGGTGTGGCCTGAGGAAGGATGGGGAGGGTTTAGCAGCCTGGAAATCAGCCTTCTGAATCCTCCCCAAGTGGTTTTCGTGCCCTAAATACAGGTTTTTTTGTTCCCTGAAGTGTAGGTTTTTTCGTTCCCGAAATTGCATTTTTCTGTTCCTGAAATTGTAGCTTTTTTATCCGTGAAATTGCCATTTTTTTTCCAGGAGAAGGATGGGAGAGCAGGTAGTTTGAAGCCCCACTGGTGCTCAGAGTTCTAAATGATGGCCCAATTGCACCAGAAATTCGGGGTCAAGAGGGAAAGGACCCCAATTTTGTGTTCAAAACTCCACCATGGGCATCACACTGAAACCACATGAAATTTGTGGAGGTGGAAGGGACCCACAAGGATCATTGAATCCAGCAATCAGAAAAAAAAAAATAGCAATCAAGGCCCTGCTTCTGAAGGGCTGCAGGAAGGCAATTGTGGAAGCAGGATGGGAATCCACAGCTTTATATCACAATATAAGGGGGGGAAAAAAATCACTTTTCCCAGCTCAGCCTTCAGCACAAACCATGCTGAGTGTCCATCATGAGGGATGATAACAAGGGAGGAGAGCAGGGGAAGGAGGGATCACCAACGAGCCCAGTAAGTCCTGATGCAAAGCCAAACAAAGCCACTGACATAGCAGGGCTGTGAGAGAGCACAATGCTAATTAGCACTGAGTTAATGATTGTTTTCATGGCGCTGGAGCCTCTGCTGAAGCTCATTAATGTGGCCACAGGCTGGTGGGAGGCAGGCACTGCCTCTGGGGCTTCCATCTCCTGCTCTTCTTCCTTTTCCACCAGTTTGAAGCAGAAGCTGGTGCTGGGAGAAGCTCCTGCTCCCTCAGGTCCAGCCAGAAGAACCTCTCAGACCCTTTTGAATTTTAAGGCAGAACAAACCACAAATGATGCAAAATTCTATCCTTTTTCTGGACTCACATACAGGGCTGGTCAGGAACCACAGCTGCCTCATCTGGGACAATTCTCTCCAGGTTTTGTGTCACAGGCTTGGCCTAAAACTCAAAATCAAAATGAAACACTTGAAAAAAACCCAGCCTTGGTGCAAACAGATCTTTTACCCCCCAAATTCTGGAGGTTTCTCCAACACAAATGAAAGCACCGAGAGAAAGAACTGCTGCAGTTCCCAGCTTCCCCCAAACCGTGCCCTCGGGAAATTGGTTTCCCAGAGGTTTGGATCTGGCTGGAAACCTTTGCCTTTGGGCAAATTCTCCTCGAAGTTCCTGATGTAACTGTCTCTTAAGTGCTTTTTTAATCACTGAGTATTCATCTGTCACTCAGGCTTCAATGCAGTCATTCTCCCTTCTTTATGCTGCCTATGGTTATGTATATCAGAGCAGAAATAACTGAAGAATAGATATCTTATTCATTCTATTTTCAAATGCAGTAGGGCTCTATTTTTGTTAGAGGGAAATATACTTTTTTTCATCACATGTCAAACACAGCAGTCCGAATAATTGCTATTAAACTTAATTGGCAAAGTTCAGCTTCAACAGCAAGAGAAGTGAAGAGAAAAAAGGCTACTGGTGCCTGGAAGTGTTATCATTAGTTCTTTGTCTTTAGCACATCGTGTGGAGTGTTAAAGGCTTTCACTCTGAATTAAGCTCATTTTGTTCACCAAAAATAAAAAAAGGTGAGGAATGCCTACCCCGATTTTTTAAACTAAGAAATGAAGGGAAGCTCTTGCTTGTCTGCTGCTGACCTTTGCTGGGTGTAATTGGAAAAACTGTCTGGGAAAAAGCTGTAAGTAAAATTAGAGGTGCTTGGGAATCAACATGAATGTATTTCCCTCCTCATTCTGCCTTGAAGTGCTTCAGGGAGCTGTTTAAGCTCCTTTATCCTCCCTTGTGGGTTGGAGGAGCCTCGTGCTCCCTGGTGGCACTGGAATGTGAGCCCAGCCTTGTGCTGGGGCTGCCCAAACCCACAGAGAGCAGGAGAGGCAACCACAGCAGCCCCTTGGAAGGGGCAGAGCTCTGCCTTTGACCCAGCACAGCCCCAACCACCCACCAGCCTCTCCAAACCCTGCCAAACCCTCCTTTGGTGTCCTACCAGCAGCCCGGCCCCTGGGATTGCTCTGTAGCCCTAGAGAATTGCTTACTAGCCCCAAGGATTGCTCACCAGCCCCAGGAACTGCTCACCAGCCCCAGGGAATGCTCATTAGTCCCAAGGATTGCTCTCCAGCCTCAGGGATTCCTCACCAGCCCCAGGGAATGCTCATTAGTCCCAAGGATTGCTCTCCAGCCTCAGGGATTCCTCACCAGCCCCAGGGAATGCTCATTAGTCCCAAGGATTGCTCTCCAGCCTCAGGGATTCCTCACCAGCCCCAGGGATTGCTCTCCATCCCCAGGGATTGCTGTCCAGCCTCAGGGATTGCTCTCCAGCCTCAGGGATTCCTCACCAACCCCAGGGATTGCTCTCCAGCCCCAGGGATTGCTGTCCATCCCCAAGAATTGCTCACCAACCCCAGGGATTGCTCTCCAGCCCCAGGGATTGCTGTCCAGCCCCAGGGATTGTTCTCCAGCCCCAGGGATTGTTCTCCAGCCCCAGGGACTGATCTCCAGCCCCAGGGATTCCTGTCCAGCCCCAGGGATTGCTCACTAACCCCAAGGATTGCTGTCCATCCCCAGGGATTGCTCTCCAGCCCCAAGGATTGCTCTCCATCCCCAGGGATTGCTCTCCAGCCCCAGGAACTGCTCTCCAGCCCCAGGAACTGCTCACCAGCCCCTTCTCTCTCTGCAGGTGGTGGGGGAGTGGCGGTTCAGCCGCATCCACTGCGACATCTTTGTCACCCTGGATGTCATGATGTGCACTGCCAGCATCCTCAACCTCTGTGCCATCAGCATTGACAGGTGAGGGCTCCGTGCCACCAGGCTGTGCCAAAGCCAGGGTGGCAAGTCCCAGCCACCTCTGCGTGGCCACATTTTACCCGGGACTCAGGGGCTCGGAATCAGTGGGAGTTTTCTGAAGAGCAGCTTAGAGGATCTCGAGGAGCTGTGAGCAGGGAGCTCTGTCAGGAGGCACAGAAACGCTGCTCCTGGGGCTGCAGATGGAATTGCTCTGTGTCCCATGGGTCTGGCACTTTTTCTGCTCTGGGGTGGTGCAGGGGTGTCGGTGGGAAGGGTGGGAGGAGAACATCATGCTGAGCTGACCCAGCTCACCCCTCCTGGTGTGGCTGCAGCCCGCTGGGACACACAGCCTGGGCAGTGGCAGGGTGACAGCAGCCTGGGGGTGTGTCCCTGCAGGTACACGGCCGTGGCCATGCCCATGCTCTACAACACCCGCTACAGCTCCAAGCGCAGGGTCACCGTCATGATCGCCGTGGTCTGGGTGCTCTCCTTTGCCATCTCCTGCCCGCTCCTCTTCGGCCTCAACAACACAGGTGAGGGCTCTGCCTCCTGCAGCCGCCTCCTGCTGTCCTCCCGGGCAGCCAGGGATGAAGGTGGGATCGGGTTTGAGGTGTGTTGGGGATGTTCTGTCCCTCTGCCACCTGCAGCCGCCTCCTGCCTCCCAAATAGACAGGAATAAAGGTGGGACCAGGTCTGAGGTGTATTTTGGAAGTTTTCTGTCCCTCTGCCACCTGCAGCTGGCTCCTGCTGCCCTCCTGGGTCCCCAGATAGAAAGGAATAAAGGTGGGATCAGGTTTGAGGTGTATTTTGGAAGTTTTCTGTCCCTCTGCCACCTGCAGCTGCCCCTGCTGTCCTCCCAGGCAGCCAGGAATGAAGGTGGGATCGGGTTTGAGGTGTGTTGGAAGTGTTCTGAGGTGTATTTTGGAAGTGTTCTCTCCCACTGCCACCCCTCACTGTTTGCACGCTGGCTCTGGGTCTGTTTCATCTCCAGCTGTTCCAGAGCAGGGTTTCACACTCACCAGGACTGGGGTGATGCAGAAGTTCACACAACACCAATCTCTGTTACCTTAACATTTGTCCACTACAAATTCAAAACCCTCCCTCTATTAAAACACACAAAAGGGAAAGCCGTGGGATGAAACCTTCCCCGAGGCAGGAGGGAAAAGGACTGGTGTTCAGGCAGCAGTTTCCTGGGAATGCTGGTTGGATACAGCATGGGATCAGCAGGAGTTTTTGGGGGTGACGTGCCTCCCTCCAGCCCCGGGGCAGCCAGCACCGCGACCCCCTGAGCAGGGCACGCCCACCCTGCAAGGCTTTCTCTTCCAGACGAGAAGGAGTGCATCATTGGCAACCCTGCCTTCGTGGTGTACTCCTCCATCGTGTCCTTCTACGTGCCCTTCATCGTCACGCTGCTGGTGTACGTGCAGATCTACATCGTGCTGCGGCGGCGCAGGAAGCGCGTCAGCACCAAGCGCAGCAGCCACGTGCTGGACTCGGACACGCAGGCCCCCCTGAAGGTACCAGCCTCTGCACGCTCCCCCGCCCTGCTCCCCCTGCCCCACGCCGCCCAGAGCTCCCGAAGGTGGGTGCTGTGCTGGGTTTGGGGTCCTGGCTGCACATCCCGGGGCTCCCAGCTCGCTGGCTGGGGCTCCTGGGGCCTCGCTGGATCTCAGGGGTGTTTGCAGCAGCAGAGCTGCAGCAGGAGCTGCTGCAGTGACCCCGAGCATTGCCTTGGGCTGGGCTGGGGTAGGCAGGAGGCTGCGCCGTTGCGTGGGTCAGTCCTGCAGGATCACAGAATGGAGGAGTGGTTTGGGGCAGGAGGGACAGTAAAGCCCACGGGCAGGGACACCTTCCACATCCCACGTGGCTCCAAGCCCCATCCGACCTGGCCTTGGACACTGCCAGGGATGGGGCAGCCACAGCTTCTCTGGACACCCTGTGCCAGGCCTCCCCACGCTCCCAGGGAGGAATTTCTATCTAACATCCAACCTAAACCCATCCTCCTCCAGCTTAAGGCCATTCCCTTGTGTCCCACCACTCCAAGCCCCTCTCCAGCTCTTGTGGAACCCCCCTTTAGGCTGTCAGGTGTCCCCAAAGCTCAGTGGCAGTGCCTGGGGTGCACAGCTCCTCTGAGGTGTCCCCAAGGCTTGGTGGCAGTGCCTGGGGTGCACAGCTCCTCTGAGGTGTCCCCAAGGCTTGGGCGCAGGGCCGACAGTGCACAGCCTCTGTCAGGTGTCCCCAATGGCAATGCCTGGGGTGCACAGCTCCTCTGAGGTGTCCCCAAGGCTTGGTGGCAGTGCCTGGGGTGCACAGCTCCTCTGAGGTGTCCCCAAGGCTTGGTGGCAGTGCCGAGGGTGCACAGCCTCTGTCAGGTGTCCCCAAGGCTTGGTGGCAGTGCTGACAGCTCCTCTCAGGTGTCCCCCAAGCTCGGTGGCAGTGCCTGGGGTGCACAGCTCCTCCCTGGGAAGGACAGCTCTGCAGGACCAGCCTGTCCCTGCAGGAGCTGCGTGTCAGGGAGCCCAGCTGGGCTGTGACTCCTCTTGTCAAGCAGGGCTCTGGCAGCACAGGCAGCACAGGCAGGGCCGTGCTGCAGCTCCAAACCGTGCTGCCTGCAGAGGAGGCAGCGACAGGGGGACACACAAACACAGCAGAGCTTCGTGGCCTCCATCCCTGCTCCTCCAGGGCAGTTCTCCATCAGTTCTCCATCCTGCTCGGCACCTCAGCTCCTGATTCATCCCTCTGTATTCCCACGTGCCTCCCTTACCAGCTTCCCCTCCCGACCCCTCTCTGCCTGTGTAACCTCTGAGCTGGTGCTTGCCCCTTAGGACAAATGCACTCATCCAGAAGACGTCAAGCTCTGCACAGTTATTGTGAAGTCCAATGGGAGCTTCCAAGTTAATAAGCGCAAAGTGGTGAGTGTTAAAAGAGAAGTGGGAGCTTTCCAGAGCCTTCAGCCTTCCCCTTCTCCCTCAGGACACGAGGTTGATTTATGTAGGGTGGGAGAAAAATAAACCTAAGAGCAAAGGTTACCGTTCAATCTCAAAATTTAAATAGTCTTCCCATTCCTTGGAGTGAAGCAGGGGGTTTAAGCTCACAGAGCTCACAAAGCCAGATTAAGCTCACCGAAAGATCAGCTCTAAAAGCCACGGCATTTGAACATTTTTGTGCCTTTGATTTCCTTCTCCTCTCTGTTATTTAAATCTTGGACTGCATTGGCTTTGTTGGGTTTTGGTTGTCAATTCCAGTTTTATCCATTTGCATTCTGAAAACCTGAATAAAATCTGTAGAGAGTGGAGACAGCGTCTCCCCCATTTCTGAGCCTCTTTGTGCCCAAAAAGAGAATCCTCCAGTGCAGCTCTGTCCATCCCACCTGCCCAGAACACCCAAACACAGCACAGCCCTTTCTGCAGGCGCCAGGCAGGGAGGGAGAAGAGGGACTGACTGTTCTCCAGCATCATCCAGCTTCACTCTGTAAGGAATGCTCGTTGCTCCTCTCTGTGTATTTACCTGTCATTATGTTGTGGACATTTGATTCTTGTCCAGGAGGCAGAGAGTCACATAGAAGAGATGGAAATGGAGATGGTGTCCAGTACCAGTCCCCCTGAGAAAACGGCCCTCAAACCCACAGCACCAAGTAACCACCAGTTGATTGTGCCAGTTGCTTCTAATCGGGGCAACAACTCTACCCTGCAGGCACCCCTGAGCAGCCCTGGGAAGGTGGAGAAGAATGGCCACGCCAAAGAATCCCACCACACAGCCAAGGTCTTCGAGATCCACTCCCTGCCCAACGGCAAGACGAGGAACTTGCTCAAGGCCGTGATCAGGAGGAAACTGTCCCAGCAGAAGGAGAAGAAAGCCACGCAGATGCTGGCCATCGTGCTCGGTGAGAGCGTGCCCTGGCTGCCCTGGGCTCCCTGCAGAAATCCCAGTGCCCGTGTGCCCTGCAGGCTGATTTCCCAACCCCCTCAGAACCCATTTCCCGTCACACATCAGAAGCAAAGGGCTGCCCAGGGGAGGGTCCCTGCTCCCCAGCCACGCACAGCTGGCAGTGCTGCACTAAGGGTGCCCAAAGCTGCCCCTCTCGGGGGCATCTGAGCTCCCAAAATGGGGGAGAGCTCCTGGGCTTGCTGGGGCAAAAGGCAGCAGAGCTCAGCAGAGCTGGCACCCTTGAAGGGCAGAGTTTCTGCTGCGTCTGGGCTGTTCCACGAGCAGAGGAGTTCTTTAGTACCAGGGCAGAACGCAGACCAGGACACTGAGCACGCAAACACAAATCTCATTCCTCCGGGAAATAAATTCCCCTTCCACCAAAGAGAACCTTGCTGAGAATCTGCCCAGCTTTCAGCAATCAAAACCCTCCTCTCTGCTTTTTTCCCCCCCCAGGTGTTTTCATCATCTGCTGGCTCCCCTTCTTCATCACTCACATCCTGAACATGCACTGCGACTGCAACATCCCGCCGGCCATGTACAGCGCCTTCACGTGGCTCGGCTATGTCAACAGCGCTGTCAACCCGATTATCTACACCACCTTCAACATCGAGTTTCGCAAGGCTTTCATGAAGATCCTCCACTGCTAAAAGTCACAAACAGCACCCGCATTTATTTTTTAGGAGCGCAGGGGGGAGAGGACGCGATGCCATCCACGCGCGGCGGGGCAGCCGGGGAGGGGGCTGGAGCTCTTGAGCTGGGCACGGCGCGGTGCCCGAGCGCCTGCTGGGGATGCAGCGAGGCGGGAGGGTCTCTCACCCCGCTGGGTGACCTCTGGACCGCTCCCAAGGGCGCTTTTCAGAGCCACCCCCGCGCTGTGTTGGAAGTGGAAGCGCAAGAATCGAGGCGCTCTCGCTCGGTTCTCGCCCGTGGCCACCCAGCCTGGAGTGGCCTGGACACAGGGTGGACACGGGGTGGCCACGGGGCCAGCAGGACGTGGCGCTGGGTCAGCGGCACAACTCTCACCAAAGACAAGGCCATCCCTGCCGCTTGGAGCAGGAGCCAGCCAGGGCCTCTGCAAGCTCCGTGCAATAGCTTTGCCTTCACCTCGAGCTGACTCACCCGGTGTTTAACTGCTGAAGCCTTCGGAAATTACATAAAAAACAACCCAAAAGACTTTCAGAGGTCCCCAGGCGGGTCGAGAAGGTTCTGCCACCCACAGACCCTGCAGCAGTGTGAGCCTACAAGCCATGGGTGGAAGGGAGGAGGGGGCATCAGTCTCACGTCAAACCATGTGTAAATAGCAATGAATAGGAGGGATTTTGGAGCCCCAAGCCAAAAAAAAAAAAAAAAGAGATGGAGAGAGAAAGTCAAGGAGTGGAACCCTGTCTTGCATGGTGTGCATCCAACAGGACCCCCTCACCTCCCATCAGTGATTTCTGCCCACCAGCATCTCATGTCCAGGCTCTGCCCAGGCTGACAGCAGGGGAGGGGTGGCAGCGTGGTGAATGTACAGACACGAGGACACTGTGCCAGGGGAGGCACCCGCAGCGCCAGGGGCACCCTGAGCACGCCAGCCAGGCCAGGGCTGGCTCTTCTCACCTAAACCAGGGGCCCCAAGGAGCACCTCGGGTCTGATTTGCCTCTGTCTCTCCCCAGGGAGTGCAGAATAACATTGTGCCTAATTTAAATCAACAGTCAAGGAGATAAAACTGTGCATTTTGGAAAAAGCCAGAATAAAAAGCCAAGAAAGCCCCTGCCTGGACCAGCTCCTGTGTCCAAGCTGGACTCTGGAAAGGTCTGGATGTTTCCAGCATCCCTTACTCTCTGCTATCTATTTTTCCATGGATTTTAGGAATGGAAGCCCCACAAGAGCATCATTTCACCACGCTGAATCTGGCACTGCCAAACCCACGCTGTACGTGCTGTTTGTACTCAGTTCACATGACATTTTGCAATATCTCTGTAAATAAAACACAGCAAGGTGAATAAAGCGAGGTGGAAATAGGTTTGGCTAGAAATTCCTGCAGGATGTGGAGCAGCAGAGGGTTGCAATAGCCATAAACAGGGGCAGGCTCCCAGGGTGCAGTTTCCTGCTGTTTTCTAAAGGAGTAAAAACACAATTGGGAGAGCAATAGAATCCCTTTTTTCTCTATGCAGTCTGTGGAATATTCACTCCGTTTCTGCTTCAGATGAGGTGGAGATCTGGCAAGGGTTCCTTTAATTCCCTGGATTTCCTGTATTGCTAACAGAGCACTCCAGCTCTGAGGCAGGAGGAGATTACACCAAGCAGCTCTAGCACATAATCTCAGCTGTTTTCTAAAATGGAAGCAGCAGTCCCACCTTAATCCACAGGTTTCTGTTCCAAACCTGGCATTCCTGGGATGGGCTGGCATCCAGGGGTTTTGATTTTCAGCCCACAGCCTTGTGTAACATTTGAACCTGGCTCTTCACAGCTGAAAACTGCAAAATTGGGAACGCCAACTCGAGAGATCTCAGGCACGCACGAGCTGTTCTTTCTTCCCCACGGTTTTCACCAAACAAATTCACTCAGTGATGGGAATCACCTCAGACTTGTACCCAATAGTCACAGAATGATGCAAGGTTTTGGGGCAGAAAAATAGCAACAAGCTACTGGTCCATCTTTTAATGTATTTATAAGCAGAAAGATCCATTTGACTCGGGGAATTAACAGGTGGGGAGCTGAGCAAAAATAGCAAAAATTACATCTATAGACAAAAAAAGCTTTAAAGCATTTGGAAGTTGCCATAGGTGATGTTTGCCCTGTACTAAAGGCTGGTGTGAGCCCTCAGGATAAGTGGAATAATAATATCCCTCAGGATAACGTGGATAATATCTTCACTTTGTGCCATAATTTTACTTTGTGTTCATTTTTAACCCGAGGAAAATCCTCATTCCAATGGTGTGTACCTCGCTCCCAGGTTTTTTTTTTCTGAATCCAGAAGCAGAACCTTATAGCTCAACCCACCTGAACCACTACCTGAAAAACTCTTCCAAAATGCCACGGAGGGAAAAAAAGCTGCAGGAAAAGCCTCTGTCCTTGATGTGGAGCAAAAAACCCAGGTGGGGTTTTTGGATTTTGGAATAGGATGGATTTCCCAGAGCTGCAATACTGGCTGTGAGGAATCACCTGCAGCCCACCCTTCATCCCCGGGACACTCGAAGCTGCTCCTTCCTCACACTCCAGGCTAAATCGTGGGAATGTGAATGTCCCCAGTGCCCTTGGGAAGGTGGCAGTGCCAGCTCTGGCCGTCTCTGCAGCAGCTTTTCCTTCCCCACAAAACTCCTGCACTTCCAGACAACAAATGAAGCACTTTGAAAGCCAGGACTGAGCCTTCCCCTTCTGCAGACAGCACCAAAGTCATCCTCACCTCTGGCTTCCCAAGGAGGTAAGCAGTGCCAGGAGCAGAGGCAGAGTGTGCTGACTCAAGGAGAACCCGGGAGCTGTTTCTGGAATTCCTCGGAGCCCATCCTGAGTCAGGGACTTGGGAGCCTCTGCCACAGCTCTGAGCCTGGCAAACCTCGCTGTTCCTTCCACCCTGGAAAAAACAAACCTCTGCTTCCCCGAGGACCTCTGCTGGCAGGACGTGCTGGTGTGGGATGGGCACTGAGCTGGTTTTTAAAAACACCTTAAGCAGAAGATTTCATTTCTTTGTTCCTCCAGAACTCCAGAGCCTTGCTCTAGCCCCTCTTTTGGGATTCATGATTTATAACTGAAGCTTTCGTTCTGCTTATTGAGTCTTCCTGTTCCTGCTTTCCCTCCCTGTGATTCCCAGCTTGCTGAAGCCCTGGCTGGGGACCTCTGCACCCCCAAAGAGGTTTGAATTAAAAGCCAGTGAATTCTGCCTGCACTGTATTTGCTGCTTGCCTGCTTGCTCCCATTCCACAGAACTGTTAATCTTCCTGGCTGAAGAGTAAATGAACTCCAGTAGGTCTAACCAGCTTATCCAATCCTGCTGAAATAAAAAAATAATAATAATTAAAAAAAAGGAAAACAGGAAAAATAAAGCCACTACCTCTTGTGGTGAAAATCTCCAGTGCAACCACGGCTCCCCAGGAGTCAGGAATGTATAAATGCCCATCACAGGTACGTGTGACACCAACCAATGTCTTCATGCAGCTCTGTCATTAAATAGAGACTTGCACAAGCCACCCTGATGTCCATCTGCTTGTTTTGTTCTGGTTTACTCTGTGGGAGGCTCCAGGGGCTGTGGTTCTGCTGCAGAGCTCAAACACGCAGAGGAAAAGCTGCCCTCACATGAGATTTGCCTTTTTTTGACTTGCTTTTCAAATTATGTTCCTTTTTCCTCCCTTACCCCTGTCTATCCCTGAGAGTTCTGCTGTTTGCCTTGCCTGCAGCCACGAGAATCAGACACGAGGAAGGGAAGATGCAGAAAGGCACAGACAGAAGGGAAATGGTCTGAAATCCCAGACAGGAGTGGGCTGGGAAGGGGTGGAAGGCAGAGGTGCCCAGCTGGGTTCATGCTGGACGACTTAATTAATTTATTTTGGAATATTTTAATTTATGTTGCACTGTTTTCTCAGGCTACACACTCAGGTTTGGTGTTTGTGCAGGTGGAGCCTCAGCCAGGCTTAATCAGCACTTTTAAAATAATGATTATTTTCTTTATATAAAAGAAGAAGAAAAAATAGTACAAAGGAAATCCCTCCCACTGCTGGGAAAGGAAGCTGTCTGTCCATCTCTAAGAACTAACACGCTAAAATTTCAGTTTAATGGCATTTCAAATCCAAAGGTTTACCCAGTTTTGACCCAACACAGAATAATCCCTGCCCCGAAGCCCTCCGTTTGTGCAGAAACCAGAATCTCCAGAACTGCTGAGTTCAAACGAGGCTGAATTCTCCCTGGTGGATGATTCACCTCAGTGCCACCGTGAAAATGAGAGAAAATGAGGAGCTCCAGTGCCCCCTCCCCTCCCAAACACGGCAGAATAAACGATATTTTCACATCAAACAGGACACACCAGGCTGTTTTCAGCCAGTCTGCCCTGAGCCCGGCAGGATCAAAGGCTCTGAGCTTCACCCTTACAGCCAAATTTCGTTTCTAAGCCTGTGGACAGAAGCCATTGACAGCACCCAAAAGAGATAAAAGGAACGATCTGCCCGTCTCCTGGGGCTCTGAGTGATCCTGCTGCTCCAGGTGAGCCCTGACACATCCCTGGGTGTGCTCTGTTCTGCACACCCAGGGGAAAAAAAAAAAAAAAGACAGAGAAAACCAGTTACTCTTGTTAAATTAACTCCCTGTCTTTAATCAAAGCTTCTTTTAATAATTCCAACTGCTCCCCCAAGCCTTTCTGACGATTCCAGCCTGTCTGCTTCATAAAGAGCTTTTGACTCACAAATAACAACTTTCCTCACCAAAGAAAGAGCGATCACAGTGGACTAAACATAATCACGGCGTCATGAATAATTAACAGACCTAGGAATGCCTTTAGAGAGACTTAAGAAGGCAAGCAAAACCCTTTTACAGGAGAGGAAACCATGGTGCCTCCCCAAGCTGCCATGCTGGGCCCGGGAAGGAGGAGTGGGCTGATGAGAGGGAGCGAGCACATTTACCAGGGCAGCTCTGCCTCCCTGCTGCCATCCTGCCTGCCTGGCACGCAATCAGCCGCAGCCCTGATGAGCTGCCAGGGCTCACGAGGTGCCCCCAGCTCGGCTGCAGCATCAGTGCCAGGCTCGGGGAGGGAGGGAGCAGCCCAGCTTTGTCCTTGCCCTCGGTGAAAAGCAGTTTTTCCTGGTTTTACCTTGGGTGAAAGGGGAGTTGGTGGCACATGCCAGGGGCACGAGGTGTGGCACGGCAGCAGAACTGGCACCAGTGCATGGGCAGCTGGAAAATGGGATGTGCAAGGGGCAAGGGATGGGGTTCAGCTGCTGGCCCTGCGCTGGGGAGGCTCCTCAGCTCAGGATCAGCAACCAGCCCCCCGAGCTCCTGGCACACACACTCCTCTGTGTGTGACCCTGCAGGAACAGCAGGGAGCCTTCATCCCCTCCATCACCCCACGGCCCATTCCAGAGAATTCCCTGCTGCCCCTGAGCCCCTCTGGGGCAGTCACAGCTCCTGTGGGGCAGTCACAGCTCCTGTGGGGCAGCCACAGCTCCTCTGGGGCAGTCACAGCTCCTCTGGGGCAGTCACAGCTCCTGTGGGGCAGTCACAGCTCCTGTGGGGCAGGAGCTGCCTCAGCTCCTCCCCTGGAGCCTGGAACCCTTGGGCTGGCGAGTTTTTAAGGATGTGGCCAGCTCCTGAGCACAGCCTGCCCCATCAGCCTGAGCTCAGGAGAGCAGGACAGAGCAGGACAGAGCAGGCAGTCACCACC